TGCTTATGAATTCAGTTTGGTCTGTTGAATGGATCAAGTCATGTCTTTGATTCTGAGTAATCACTTTGAAGGTGTCAAAGGGATATTCCACTTTCTGCGGAAAAGTTCTGAGGAAGTGTTGTCCTAAATGTTAGAAAGCTGCTTAAATGACCTGGGTTTGGAGAAATAAAGCCTGACAGTTTGTCCAAATTCAACCAATACCAAAATGGACTGCTGCAACCTAAAACCAACTTCAAGCTTAAAAGTTTCATAGCGGTTCATGCAAATTCTATATCATAGATTTTTACACCATCTTCCATTTTGCAATAAACATTTCTTACATTGAATTTTGTGGACATTAGCACAAACAATGGCAGCAGCAGCTTCCATACAGTCCAAGGTCAATTCCAGCTGAAATTTCATCGAATTCCTGTCCAAACAAGATAGAACTCAACGCCAACCGTTGGCTTTCGTTACTGAACTACTGCCATATTTATATAACCTAAGGTTGGGCTATGATGGCAGCCATCTTGGATCACATGACCTTGCAAGTGTCACTAGGGCTTGGACATTAAGTAGTGACCAACTAGTTTTGTTGGAATCATCACAGGCCTTCATTATTTAAATCATCTCATAAGATGAACGGACTAAGGGACGGACAGACAGAGGGCATTTCTATGTCCCTCGCCTCGGCAATGGGGGACAATAACAGTATAATACAAAATTGACAGTGCTGTAAAAGGTTTAATAGTAGCAGTTCCTTGAAACTCTTTGAAGGAATGAAGATAGGAGTTGCTATAAAACTGTAGCAATCTGCTTTGGAAGAAACCATTTAAACAAATGGGCCTTAGTAATAAGGCGGGACCTAAAGCCCTAAACAAAACCAAGGTAAGTCTAAATAAAGACCCACATGAGCCTACCTTCCTATCTAGCCTCTTAAAAACAGAACAAGATAGTAATGGGTTCAGGTACAGGAGGGGATGTAGCTCAGTGGTAGAGCGCATGCTTTGCTTGTATGAGGTTCTGGGTTCAATCCCCAGCATCTCCAAGAGAAGGTGGTAATCCTTAGATTTCAACAAATAATTTAAGGTGTTGTTTCAAATGCTAATAAGTAAAAGCCATCATTTCAATGGACAAGCTTTTAAATTGGATTGATTCCTGACACATAAGAAAAAGCAGAAATCTTTCACTTCTCCCGCACCAAACAATGTTTCTGTGTTGTTTGTCAGAGTCAGTGTCCTCCAGTTCTGACAATTACTTCACAAAATCAATCCCAATTCTTTTTTTAAACACTATTGTTTCTGTTTGGATGAACTCGGCTCGCATGAGGAACACGAACAACTGCGAGCTGCGTTAAGAAAATAACCCTGAAGGTTAAAGCTTGAATGGTGTCAGCTGGTTTGCTTCTGCTCTTAAAAAGTCATAACAACAGCCAAAGGAAGAAAGTGGAAGTCAGTTCATGTCTATCTAGTGTGGGCTGAGGAATGTACTGCCTTATTTTAAAGGTTTTAGGAATTTCCTCATGCATACAGAATTCACGGTTAATCAGAAAAAAAAATCCATCTAATTATCTGCTCTTTACTTCACATTTACACATACCCAGTGTGTATTTTACTGTGCCACAGAATGTGTAAACACAGGATAATTAGTAGTTTTTAAAATGCCAGGAACAAACGTACTTTTTTATTAAAGACTAGGCCTCTCTCATTTTGACATGATTCCTTCACTGAAGTGTGAGGATTTTTTTTAGGGAAATGGCTCAATAAGGAACACAATAGGAGGGCAATGAAAACTAAATCAGTACTGAAGAAGTCCACACCCTTCAGAGCAAAACACTACGTCTATGTATTATGGTGTTTTCAGGGTGCTTGTGATTTTACAGCCCGTCTAAAATCATAAATCCTATTTTCATCAAACTCTGGTCTCATTTTTAACAGAGAGGCCCAAAATCATTTTGTGGAGAGACTGAATCTTCAATCATGAGTAGTAAATGTTTTTTGGTTGTTTGAATGTTTTTAACTTTGCTTTCACAAAATAGGACATGAGTTGCACTGAGTATTTTTTTTCATTTGGTTTTATGTATTTTTAATAGGAACAATGAAGTTTACCTAGTTTCATTTTTTTTATTTGCTCCAAAACTTTGCTGAAGCTTTTTCAGTTCCCAAACTTTAGAACAATCTACCTTCTACGGTTTGACTTCTTCACTACTTCACTTTTAAAAACACATTTGTTCTCATGGATATTTAACCCCCTGTGAGCTGATTTGGTCTTTTTCATGGTACTTTTACCTTCATTTATGAGATGTTTTATTTAAATGGGCTTTATAAAGACTTGAGTTGACTTCAAGCTACTGAAATTAACAGTTTGCTGAAAATCTCAAAGGAGCTCTTCACACAGGGTGGGGCATCTTGTCAAGTCTAAGCCAGAAACTTTCACATTCAGAAAGAAAACCCCAAAAACCACACGTACCATAACCATTCCTGTGCGTCTCCCTCTGCTACACCCTCTGTGTGACCCATTTCTGTACCATCTCCCTGGTGTTCAACAGAAAATTTACATAACAGACCTGCATTCAGGAACATAAGTGAAGGTTTGACAAAAATTGATTGCCAATTTTCAGACACTTGCAGCCTTTTCTTGTCCCTTTATTCCTCACTTTTACTTTGTTTTATCTTAGATTTGTTTCTAGCAGGCTGCTGTGCAGGACGGGCAAATAACCAAAATATCATTTTGTGATTTTAAGTAATTTCCTTTTGTTTATTCTACGCAGGATTTTAGAACCTGTTTCAACCATGAAATAAAATAGTGAGTGAAACAACAGTTGGCGTTTGCAAGGTTCACTTTTGTGCAAAAGGAAAACAATACTACCCCACCCACTTCCTGTGATATTCTGCACTTGCTGGAGCGCTTTCATTCCTCTCGTCCTCGCTCTCACGCCCAGAAACTGAGCCAAAATAAATTCAAGAGTACGCCCAGAGCCAATGCTGCATCCAAACCTTTCAGTGAAGAGACGAGTGACATGAAAATTCACAACCAAAAGTGGAGAAATGACAAAAAATAAATAAATAAATAAACGATTCAATGAGAATGAAAATTAAAACAGAAGAATTGCTCTGGATTTCATAATTAAGATTTATGCCACATCTTTCCAGCTAGCATTAATCCAACCATTTCTTCCTTTTGGGGTCACTGGTATCCATGCAGGTTGCAAGTCCATCACAACATCACATAAACACAAACAAACGTTCACACCAAGGAACAATTTATAATTACCATTTAGTCAAAGCTAACGTTAATGTTCTTGGTCTGCGGGAGGAAACCTGGTTGAAATAATGTTTTATCTAATTTGACAGTACGTGAGTTCATTGTTATTGTTTACTAGGGCACACTGCCGTCTGGAATCCTGTGAGATTTAATTTGTTTCAAAGGGATTTCCTGTTAGCACAACTGACCAGAAAAGAACTGATGGGTATTTTGCTGATTAATGCTATTTTGATTACTACTTAACATAGTGTGTGTGTACTGTCACCGGCGAGTTGCTTTGCCATACAAAAAATGACGTTTGCCATCCAAAAGTACATCATTTCACGTAAAGTTGGTTCATTGATAGTAGTCTAAAACCACAATTAGATGTCAGTGGTGGTGAAAATAAACATGTATTGGATCAAACCTAAGAGTCCAGTGTTTAAATGCCTTTTTTGTAATACATATTAATGCATTTTTGGAAAAAGGACACTGATAAAATATGCAAAAGAAATTTTGTATCAACAAAATTGTGAAATTTTGTTGAGATATTTGCATGTGAAGTAACAAGAAGTGATGTCAAAGGGGAATGTCTGAATGTAAACAGAGCATTGCTACAATAACTAACAACACAGACTGTAGAGAAGAATCGGATGTTTCTTTAAAGCCACTATCAGAGAGATAAAAAGTCAGAGTTCAAATAATATTGTTTTGATAAAAAAAAGACCAGAGAATTTTCTTTCTTAAAGAGTTCCCTTTTGATGTCACTTCCTGTTTAACTTTCTCTGAGCCAAGTTAAAAAGAAAACCTGCCGGTTATGAGACAAAATGGGTAAAATCATGTGCAAGTTCATTAAATAAAAAAATGTCTTCTTTTACTTTTTGTATTTGAAGAATAGGCATGTCACAGGCATAGTACGCTTACAAACAATCTGCATGTGTATGATGAAAGATTTTTTTACAAATTCAACTTTATCCTTTAAAATCCCAGAGATGTCTTGATCAATATAGTGTCAAAGTTAAAAAAAGTATGCATGTTGGCACCCACTACCATGCTTTATCAACTGCAGAGAGAACCACGTTATGTGGGACATCACTGGTCCAGTAGCAGCACTGGTAGTGACATTATGAGGATAGATAATGTATTAACAACATGTTTCTGTCATAATCATGGTTTAAACGCCAGTAAAAAGTACTACAAACTCAACTGAATAAAGGTCTCACAGATTCATTACAAACATGTTAAAATATATACATATTTATCAAACAGACACTGAGAAAAGATGGCAATAAGCTTCTCTCATTGTAATCTACAAATCCAATAAATACAGAAATATTTTTATTCAGCCTACTTCTGCAAGAACACTCATCATGACTTCTGGAGAATTTCATATAAACGCTCCATAATTGTCATTAAATATACACACAACACGCCCACGACTCAATTAATTTTAACACGTCTTAAAAGCTTCGTTTTGATGCTACACCATAACATCAACTCCAAATATGGAAAGAAGCAGGAACATTTAATGGACAGAACTAGGACAAAGTAAAACCACTTTCTTTCAGATGTTATGTAAACGCTGTGAAGAGGAGACGAGGACAGAAAGTTTGCAGGCATTATTACATAACTTAAGTGTGTCAGACAAGAAAGTCTAACTCCATCATTAGTGGGGTGGTTCTAATTCACATAAATGTATAAATTCAACCCTGTGTGTTTATGTGGCTGATTATGTGTTGTAATTTTGTGTAAGTGTTTCTTCATGTGTATATCTGTACCTTCGGTCTGTGCGCCTTCAGAGGAGAGACAGTCCTGGTCCCAGTCCCCTGCACCAAGGATCTGAACAACCAGGAGTCGCCTCAGTGATCCCAGGTCAGAATCTTTGAGCCCGGTCTCCAAGTGCTGGACCACGCCACGTCCCGGCTGGCACGTCACCACAGTAACCTGGGAGCAAAACAGATTCAAATAAACTAATCTAACAACTAAAACCAGGCAGTGAACATGATTTAACTGCATCAAAATCCTGACAGAGAAAGATTTAAATACATGAACACAGGACCAGTGTAACGGTGAAATTATTATCAACACAATTTAGCAGTTGTGTGAAATGTGCTGTGTCCAAACAGTAGCTATAATCCATTATGAATGTCAGTTGATACGTTACTGGTGAATGGAAAGAAGTTACGCCAAGATTAACCTTTAATGTCCTGATGCATCTCAGTAATCCAGGTAAAAAATCAAAAAGAAATAAATTGTATAGGTCTTCTGGACGGGTTCTCTAATGAAACGTTTCGTCTCTCCTCCAAGAGACTTCTTCAGTCTGAGAGTTTCAGGCAAAATTCAGGCTTTTAAGCCCTGCCGCCATGTGACTGATACTCACATCACATGGCTGTCATTGACACCTAATTAACACCTATTGTTAACAGGGCGGCGGCATGGTGGCTCAGTTGGTAG